TATGCAACTTCGGAAACCCACAGGGGCCGTTCTATTCCATCTTGAAAGGGTCACTGTGAGTTGGGATCTGATCTGATATACTGGGGTGTGTGTGTGGGAGACTTTACACCACCCACCCCCTGCCAAATCTTGATTTTGTGCAATGGTGTCTGATTGTGAGGCCTGAGAATCCATTTTTAGCAAAAGCTCTCTCACCCTAGCTTCAAGTCTCACACACATAACATTTGAGATGATAGGAAGGGGCTGCAAAAAGTTCCTGGAAAGATACGGAGCTTTCACGAGCGTTGTGAAGCCCCTCATAGTCTTCAAAGACTTTGATAGCCAATTTGGAGACTGATCATTAGAGGTTGGAAATAAGGGGATTGCTCTCCCGTACTGCCACCGAGTCAATGCTGACTTCCATTGACCGCCCTGTGGGTTTCCAAGATAGCAACTGTTTACGGGAGTCGAAAGCCCAGTCTTTCTCCCAAGGAGCCGCTGGTGGTTTCACACTGCTGATCATGAGGATCGCAGCCTCACGAATAACCACTATGCCACCAGGGCTCTGGGAAATTTCTAGGATGTTCAAATTCATTTATAATGAAGTCTTTTTTTTTTCTACTCCCCTAAGAACAGATATCCATAATTATTCCGATGTATCACAGCTTTCTATTTGAACTTCTTTAAATGACTGTGATTGAAGAGTTGGTCTGTTCTGGGTTGGGTGACCTGAAAAATGATAAATTGCCTTTTTTTTTTATGAGGTGTAGTGTGACCTCTGATTATACGGTCCATTGATTAATTACTAATGAAGAAAGTAGTATCACGGAATAGCTGTCATTCGGTAGGCACACTCTTTCTCAAAGGGAGCCGTGGGGGAGAAATGAACACCAGAGTCCTTGTGCTGAGATGGTTGACCATGTGTCCTTCCTCCCAGGTGCATCTGTTACGGGAAAGGTATAAACTCTTCCCTGGAGTTGGACTTCACCCATAGGTGGAAGCTAATCCTGACCCCGGGGACCCATCTTCCTTGGAATGACTCTTTCCTCTTTGTCCCCTCTTCCATTGGCTGATTTTAGAAGAAATGGAGCGGTCACCCACATCAAGATCCAGAACACGGGCGATTACTATGACCTGTACGGAGGGGAGAAGTTCGCCACCCTGGCTGAGCTGGTGCAGTATTACATGGAGCATCACGGGCAACTGAAAGAGAAGAACGGAGATGTGATTGAGCTCAAATATCCTCTGAACTGCGCAGATCCTACCTCAGAAAGGTCAGAGAC